CTATAGCTTATGGTTTCAGGTCACCTTTAATCTTCATCAGAGGTAACATGAACGCGCAGCGTTATATCCACGAAGGTCTAGAACTCCATCTTTTACCCTATCTTGACACCCTGGCAGATCCAACTTTCCAACAAGATAATGCCCGACCACATGTTGCAAGAGTCACAATGGACTTCTTTCAACATAATGATGTCACATTGTTACCATGGCCACCAAGATCTCTCGACTTATCCCCAATTGAGCACGTGTGGGATATGATGGATAGGAGATTGCTCAATTTGCAACGTCCTCCTCAGACTCTAGAAGCACTTCGACAGGAGTTGGTGGTTGCCTGGAATGAGATACCACAGGAGGACATTGACCACCTGATCAGAAGCATGCCTAGGTGGGTTGGAGAATGCGTAGCACATCAGGGTGCATCCACACATTATTGAAGGTCAAAGGCCTGTAGTTGTAAGGGCCGGTCTCAGATCCTTTTTTTTGGGATGGGTCATGAGCAAACTTCCAGTTTTCTGAGAAGGTGCCGGATTCATAAGATATCTGGAAGAGACGCGAAAGAACTGGAGCAAGCTCCGCTGCACACCTCTTGAGTACAATGGCAGGAATCAAGTACGGACCAGAAGCTTTGTTGATGTCGAGCGACAAGAGCACTCATCTTACGGTCTTATGCCTGAATGTTACCTCCCGCATAGTGTAGTGAACCCTTTGAATTGACGGCACTTGGGCATTGGGGGGGGACGTTCATTGTGGAGTTGGCTGCAAAGATCTTAGCTAGCACTTCCGTCTTGGCCTTTGAGTCGAATACAATCGTTCCATCCTGGCACGTGAGTGATGGGAGGCATTCTTTTCAGTCTGCTTGGCCAGCATCCAGAAAGACCGACTGCCACTGCGCTGCGACATTACCCTGTGCCTAACTTTTATATCGCGCTGGTTTTTGACATTTCGAACCGCTTCGTTATATTTGTTTCTGGACTTGACGTCGGCATTATTAGATCATGATACATGTTATAAGACTTGTCAATGTGAAACTAAAAATAGTTATAAATACAAATCAGTCACATGAGGACATTAAAATTACAAAATAGTCATAAAATTTCAACAAGTTAAACAGTCTGACATCCTGCAAAAACTGTGCTCGGTGGTTAGTTAATGAGACTTCAGAAGGTGGTTCTTTGTACTTTGGATTTTGAATTCAAATGGTTGTTGTTTGGGCGCCACCTAGCTTTCTTGAACTAGGAAAAGAAATAGCAAGTGATCAATGTTGGATCTCTGGCGCTAAAGCAGATACAAACTCACAAGGTACACAAACATTTACTGAACAAAAGAAAAAAAAATTAAAAGAAGTCCTGGAGGAAAGCGAAAGAATATTATTTTGTACTACCCCCCGGCTAAATGGTTTCCAGTACAACTAGAATAAAAAAAATACCTTAGTAAGTGCACAGGAAGGCAACCGAGGGCAGGAGATTCCAACTCAATACCCGAAGATAGAACCCGTAGGTAGACAGTCATGAGTCCTACTTAAATTCGCCTCGGAGTATCAACGAAAACAGTTCCCTTCAATAGAATTACAAATCATGTTGAGAAAATGAACTAGTGGCTTGGAGAAAATGGTCACTTACCAGCTCGATGGTTTAGTTAAATCCCCAAGAGGGTGAGAAAAGGGCTCCTACAACAAAATTCACCATGGGAGGTCGATTTCTATTAAAATCTCCACAACCCGATTACCCCAGCACTGGGTGTGAAATTCTTCACTAACGAAGGTTGCGGGCCGCTGAATTCCTACACGAGCGCATTGGAAATAGCACCAAGTTACCTTCAGCTCTCGTATTTGGGTCTTTTTTGATAAATTGGAAGATTCAGTAGCCAGTTTTGAAAATAATAAAACTACATCATGCATATATATTTTTTTGTAGCTTTGTTGTTCCAAAGATGGGTTTCAAAGAAATACTAGCTGTCACGCTAGATATACTTTTTTTCGCCTGTAAATTAAAAAAAATAAAACTGCCCACGGACGTGATGTTCTTGACCACAGACGTTACAAAGCAGTTGTATTTTTGTCATATCTATCCAAAATGCAATTATATAGGCCACCTACTGCATGTGTAAAATCTATATGAACCTGAGTTTGCTAAGTGAATTCGAACTATCATTAATCACCCTACGCGTCTTAATGAGTAGCTAAAGTTTAAGCTCTTTCCGTAACCACCTTAGGATGAAATAGGGCAGGAATGTGGAGTATTGGATGATGACAGCTAAACAACCAAAACGTTTGAATTCGTTTAATTATGCAAAATACAAGAGCTGCCCTAAGTTAAGAAAGGTAAAGGTATGAAAAATATTTATAAGTTATAAGTACTACGAATTATTAGCACTTCTCAATTGCTTTTTCAAGGTTGAAAGCGGTATGTCTTCGCTAGTGTCAGTGTCAGATCCGTAAACGTCTTCATAGTGTACACGTTGAGTCAAAATGACAGATTGAGAAACACCATCTTCTGTATGGTTCTTTTCGAGATTAATACCGTTAACTGAACCAGACTTAAATGTAAGGCTGCCTAAATGGTAATGCTTGCAAGTAGTTGAACATTCTAAGCAACTTAACCGTCTCACAAATAGTTTTTGCGGTTCACTGATATGCCACACTATTTGGTGTGAATTTAGTGTTCCCTTGAATACAGGGATACTGTTGGGAACCAATTTATCCATGTCAAAGAATGACTGATCTTCAGTTGATAGAAAATTTTGTGCTTCTTCAAACTTTCAACTAAAAGAGCCATATTGGCAGGTTGCTTACATAAGCAGGTATCTCTACTTTTATAATTGGGAGTTACCACCCAAAAAGTCCGAAATTTGCAAAATGTTGCGTAACTAATCTTTCTAAACTGAGGATAAGTGGCAACAAACTTTTTATGTAGGTTTAGTAAGGTATCGTTAAGATACCTTTTTTGTTTTTTATTTTTATTTCTTGTTATTCTTTCTTTTTTCCCAGCTGTGAGAAGACTCTTCTCGTCTTTTTCTAGAAACTCTCTCACCTTCACTGTTGCTTTTAAAATCTTTTTTCCATAGTTATGTTACAATTTCCTATCTGAATCTTAAATGTAGTAAGCCTACGGACATGAGTCAAAAATTTGTTCTTTTTAATTAGATCGCCATTAATAAATGATGAAAAACATTTTCTTTTCATGTTTTTTTTTCTTTGACAGAATTTTGCCTTATTTGTTGCTCAATAACTTCTGCAAAAAGTAGCTTTTTTCTGACAGGTGGTGGTACCGAATGTTTACTCAAAATATCTTAAACTTTTGAAGAGGGACTTGTTGAGGTACATCTAGAAGTGGAATTACACTGATTTGCCCTACTTAGCCATTTTTTGTATTTGTTGATGGTTCTTCTAAATGCCGCATTTTGTTTCTCCATTTCTTTGAGTTTCCTTCTCATTTTGTCTCTATTTTTCCTGGATATTTTTTCACTCTTTCTTGAGAAGCGGAGTTCCGTTACATACTTGGAGATGGCCATTGAGGGCTATCCGGTGGTGTATTTGATTGGAGGAAAATGGTTTCATCCTCTTGAGCTTTTCTTCAGCTTTTTTCCGTTGTCTATAGCGTCTGGAGCGTTCCTTCCACTCAAGTCTTGAATATTTCGCCGGCTGTTTCTTTTACGATCTCTATCTTCTGCTTTTTCCTCAGCGTGACGGACCGGATCATTTCTTATTTTTTCTCTAGCTCGTCTCATACTCATTTTCTTAGCCTCCCTACTTTTTTCCAATTGTCGATTTTGGCCATTTGAAACCTAAAATTATCAATAAACATTATTACACAGCATTCTTAAAATCAACAGAATCACGGCCGTGGATATTTTGTCACATCCGTGGACAACCAGAATTCACGGACATGATGTCCACGGACATGGCGAAAAAACGTCTGAGAGAATCTACCTTCTATATATTTGAGGCGATAAAATGCGTCAACTGTTAAATCATACCATTCATGTATATTTTATCTATTCAAGACTCATGAAACCTAAAACTAAAATAATACTTACTTTTTCAAGGTTCCACAGACTTGACAAAGGTAGTTGACGAGACGGATTTGACCAATTAAATCACTTTTTATGCGAAGAATGGATTTTGGAATCGCTTCACCGATACGTTAGACTTGTTCTTAGGTGTAATGTTTACAGCGCCCCCTGCTACAAATTTGTTGTAGCATATTATTCGCGCGAATTTTTGAATTTATAGTGAGGATCCACGGACATGACGGAAATTCTGTGACAGACTTCAGTACATGAAAATTAATGTGTAAAAGTCGGGTAATTTATTTTCATATTCAGGAAAAGTGAAGAAACATAAAAATAACCTGTTCACCAGCACAATTTCTTTTTATTTCTATTCTATTAATGAAAAAAAACTTTTCGTGTTCAGAGCTGCAGTTGTGAGTGTCCGCGGACATGATAAAGCACGTTCTGTGGACCAGATCAACTTTCAAAAAATGAAATTTTGAATAAAAATATCAAGTAAATAGGATTCAAAAGAGAGAATCTTTATCATTTAATGAAAAAATATTGCTAAAATAGTTTTTTTGACAATATACATTAGCTGTGACCTACTTTCTGCCTTATTAATGAGAACTACCGATTTACGCTCGATAGAAATTATAAAAAATAACCTTTAACGAGATGGAGGAAGTTTTTGGTCATAAAAATAAAATTCGATATTTTTAAGAAGCGCTATAAAATTATTATTCTGAATAAGAAAAACGTTGTGATAATTTGCTTTTTCAAGATGTCGGTAATTTTTAATCTACCATAAAAAGAAACTGGACCAAGCCACACAAACATGGATTTCTGTAGAAGGCCCTAAAAACGTGCTAGTTTTATTACAGCAATACGCCTTATGGCGAGATGGGAAAAATAAAATGCGCATTACTGATGTAATAATGATGTCCTCAAAAAACTGTTCGATATCGTAACGCAGTTAATATCAGTTCTATCGGGTTTCGAAGTCTGTAATGAAATATGGAGGAGGCTGCAAAAACGGATATCGGGAGTGGATATTAGCGCCATTATCTGGTGTTTCAATGTACACAAGGTAAAAAGGCTACAAGAAGTAAAGTCACTCGCTGAAAAGTTTCAGAAACTGTTTTTTCTTTAACGATGGACAGTCGCGTCGAAGCGGTCGCTCTGCATCATTTATTCCTAATAAAAATGGTTCCATCAGTTGCTTAATAATAATAATTATAATAATAATAATAATAATAATAATAATAATAATAATAATAAATGGCCTTTCCAACGACAAGTTCATCAAGTTAGTGCTATTGCATGAGCAACAAAAAGCTAAATACTCCATTACAAATATAGGGGAAGCCATGAAAAGGCAATATGCATACCAATTGAACGAAGATCAGTCAGCGGACAAGTTGAAACTCAGAGTAAAGGAGGCCATGCGAACAGAAAAAGTCAACGCCCTAAAATCGAAACCACTTCATGGACAGTTCTACAATAACCTACACAAAACCAATGTAGATAAACACATGTCCCTGGATTGGATGAAAAGTACAGGACTGAAGGCGGAGACTGAAAGTCTACTGATTGCTGCACAGGACCAGGCACTTAACACGCGCTACCATAGAAGAATGGTCCTGAAACAGAATGTCGACAGCAAATGCAGAATATGCCATCAATGTGAGGAACATATAAGCCACATTATTTCAGGCTGCTCAACACTGGCACCAACAGAATACACCGAAAGGCACAACAACGTCGCTAAATACATACACTGGGCTATCCTCAAGCAGCACCAAGTACCAGTTAGCAACAACTGGTATGATCATTCTCCTGAAGCAGCAGTAGAGACAGACGAAGCATCAATTATGTACGACAAAGGAGTCATTACCGACCGTACGATTTCCGCCAACCGACCTGATATTATTTACCATAATAAAACACAGAACACATGCCTGCTGATTGAGGTATCTGTACCAGACGACAACAACGTCAACACCAAAGAAGCGGAAAAGGCCAGAAAATACAAAGACCTCGAAATCGAAATATCGCGCATGTGGAAGACAAAGACAAGAACGGTACCCGTGATCATCGGAGCTTTGGGGACTGCCACTATGTCATTCAAGAACAACATAAAAGAACTCCCCGGAGATGTTTTTGCAACACAAGTTCAAAAGATAGCACTGCTAGGAACAGCCCACATCTTGCGGAAAACCCTTTCCGACTAAAGACCTTAGAGCTCAAAATATTACCCTTCTCAGAAAAAGGAAACAATCCATTACCTGTTGCCTGTAATCTTAGAATCATAGAATTTGATGTTCTCAATCTAAGTAAATGACTTAATAAATTTAATTAAACGATTACGTTTTGAGTACATACACTAGTGTCATAGATTCAAGTAAAGTGTTTTAGAAATAGGAGTTTACTTAAACCAATAAAAGTTGTTAGCTGTCACATGGTTAATTAAATTTTTATTTAGTTTAGTTAATTTTTTTCTCAATATATTATGATTTTAATGAAGCATTTTCATGCCAACACAAATTTTATTGGTCAGAGGTGAGTAGGAGTTAACGGTGATCTTAGTATGTGGTCATTTGTTCATAATAAATCATCATCATCGCGGATGTTTGTCAGTCGGTTCCTGTGTCATGTACCTTACTACTTGTGGTCGGTATACTTTGTTTGTACACAGCTGGGTTATTTGCTCCATTGTTCACCGCGCAAATACGGCAAAGACCATTTGTCGAAAACCAATAAAAACCGTACGAGTTCGTCCTGTTCTATGGCAGTTCGCCCAAAAACGGAGACACTTTTATTCGCTTTATGTGTCAGTGTTTTAATATGCCGACCATTTTCAAAAGCAATACGCATACTAAAACTATTTCAATTTTACGTTTATTTGTGGCATGGGATTGTGAATGTAGAACCGTTTGGATTGGAAAGGAATCGGCTACATTTTATACAGATTGTACATTTTTATAAGGCAGCAATCGCGGATATAAGTTCCAACAAGTAGAAGGAAAGGTGTTTGTTGATAATCTGAACTGTACGGTATCAGTGCAACTTTAAAAAGCTTCTTCTGCTAGATAATGGGGATTTTATTTGTAATCTAGGTAATTCAAACGAAATCCAAATATGAGATAAGGAATGTGCGTTTACTCAGAACATATTAACGGGACTCCTACAATCACGAGCACCATCTGCTGAGGTAAGGGGGGGGGGGGTGAAAAGGAAACGATTGTGGGCTGGACTTAGACGGTGGTCGGCGCTACTTTAAAAGAGGAAAGGATGACTGCGGGTGCCCACCGAAGTAAATTATTATAACAGAGTCGGATTTCGATTAGAGATCTGGCCTGTAAATCGTTTCCTATTTTGGTACTCAGCTAGTGATAATTTTGTATTCTTCTACACTTGTTATTGTTCGTCGATATTGTGTTGTTGAATTGTTGTGTTGTACTCTTGTTGGTGTGATTATTCTTGTGTGAATTTTTTATCAAGGTTGATAATGGACAATAAAAGGTCATATGCGACAGTTTTAATTACGAATTCAGTGAGTTTAATTCATGATGAGGGCAACAATAGTGTGGAGCAGTTCAACCCTATAATCGCAAAATACATTGGGGTAAGCGAATAAATTATTGCAAGAAGAGGTCATACCATGGAAGATGTGCTGCAGCTGTAGTGAGCCACAATACCGAGCGGCCTGTCTATGTGGTCCAAATACATTTGCGTTCTAAGCTTAGTCCAACCTCGCTTATCACTTAGATGGAACAAAGACTCAAACGCAAGAATCTTGAAAGAAACTCAGACCAAAAAAAGTTGATACAAAAATAACTTAACAATTCGGATAGCATTTAAAAGAAAATATATAATAGTTTTATGGTGAATTCTGTCAAAACCCTAACATAAACGACATTGATTTGGAGGTTGCTAAACAAGAATTTTTAGGGAAACTTAGAAAAAGTGACGACGAGATTTTGCATATCGAACAAGTCACCAAATCACAGGACTGTGCTTTGTGGCGTCTTCATCGGAGGATAAGGTTGACAGCGTCTCGATTTGTTGAAGTTTGTAGAAGATGGCAGACAACAAGCTGTAAAGTTCTAGTAAACTCCATCATATACCCAACAGAGTTTTCTAGTAAGGCAATAAAAAAAGGCAATGCAAAAATCATTGGACACGGCAGTTGAATCTTGTGGTTTGCTTATTGATCGCACACATCCATTTCTGGCAGCATCACCACCATCTACCTATTACAGTAGACAAGACATGTACTTAATCCAGGTATGAGCCTACCTGTTTATTCCTTTGCAGAAATTACCTAACTGTTTCCTCTTATTTTGATGGCATAAGATATTTTTATGACCTCCGTTCAATCGTTACCATCTACCACACGACCCTTGTAAACATAATTGTGTTTATTGACATGAATGAACGAATTAGAATTTGAGTTCTTGAATTTATTTTAGGAAAGATATAAAATTAATTGAATACATTTTTTCTTAGTCGGAACGCACCGTCGCGTCGCTTGGACTGGCAGGACGAAGCAGTAGATCAATTTCGCCCAAAAACCGATTTGCACTTCACAGCTTAATTTTTACTATTTCCAAATGAAACTCTTGCAGCGTGCTGAAAACAAAGTCCACAGGGTGCCAGAGATCCACTTTTCCAATTTTATCCACTAGGATCTTTTTAAAATATGAAGAAGTTGAGCACAAATGGTGAGCATTTCAATCCACCATAATTCTTGCGCAAAGACAAAATTTTGTAAAAAGCTCTGATAGCACTCTAGGCAATTATGGCCTGCTTATATCCAGAAAAACATCACAAACTGCAGAACACAAAAGGTAACGGCGAAATGGGTACATTTCACGGTGTTATGAAGTTAAAATGAAAATATAATATATATAAAATCTACCAAATGATCGTTCCCAAAAACATATTTCCTTGACATATCGATAATTTTAAAGTTCCACGCTAAATTCCCCTATACTTGACTGGAGTGATATCCAAATTTATTCTTCCCTACTGTCGGTAGTTGCAGATCTGTTGGCTGTTGGTGTCAAACCTATAGAGCAGGTACCGATTTTTTTAAATCGTGAACACATTATTCGTCGGATTTTCGATACTGAAATTTCCTGTAATCACTGGGATCAGAAGCTTCTTAGTAATACAACGTGTTTCACTGATTTCAACCCCCCCTTTTTAAGCAGTACAATTTTTTTATGTCAATGATTAGGAACCCCTGAAACCTCAAAAACGGAGTTTCAGCAATTGTTACTTTTTTGCCTATAGCACCGTTGTCACTGGACTAAAACTACAGAGCTTTGGCATACTAGTAACCGCGTGTGGAAATTTCATAAAAATGCGAGCGGTAATTTCCAAGTTGATGATGTGTGATACAGTTTTTCGTGATGTAGATGTCATATGACTTAGAAAAATATGACATCTCATTTTAGAAATTTTTCGCGATTACAATACTTCCTCGCCAATGACGTGGGAAGTAAAACGGCTTTAAAATCGAGGAGTATCAGCGATCGCGATTATGAGTACCTATTTGCAGAACGACTTATCGACGCGATATTATATGAAATAGGGCCACCAAATTATCTGAATACGTCCTTTCTTAGTCCGTACATTGCGCCGCAACGCTTGGGTTGGCAGCACGAAACAGAAGACAAAATTCGTCCAAAATACGATTTGTAGAGGTTTGCGCGCTTCGAAATTGACGCTTTATTTTTTGATATTTTTGGATGAAATTTTCACAGAGTGCTGAAAATAAAACCCCACGGTGCTATAGAGCCACTTTTTCATTGTTTTCACTAGGTTCTTTTTAAAAAAATCGCGAAGTTGAACAGAAAAAGTGCGCACTTCAACCCATCATAAAACTTGTGCAAAAACAAAATTATCTTCTCAACATACTGTATGAATTTCATTCAAAAATATTGAAAAATGGAGTGTCAGTTTTGAAGCAGCTGAACCCTTGTAAATGGCTTGAAACTCACTGCGTCGGAGCCGCCTTAAACAATGATAAAATATAGTGTAATGGAAAGGGAAAGATGCGTGTTGATACTCAATTTGAAA